GGTGAGGTGAGGACTCCTGTTTTTGTACCCCACCTCAGCTGCGTCCCCCGTATGGATAGATGTGTATACACGCTTTGCTCGCCAACACCGCGCCTCCGCCCACAAAAAAAACTAATTGTTTTCTGCAGCAAAGTGGTAGGAATAATTGACCGCCTGGGCATGATGATAAGATTCTGTCCTATGGCGCATCAGACACCTTGATGAGAGAGGGTCCTGGAAGTGCTCTCGGGCTCCTGTGATCTTCTCCGCATCAGTGCCGCAGAGCTGTGTGTGACAATCGTTGAATCGTTCCCGATGACATCTGCACCAGCTTCTGGTGGGTGCGCATCTTCAGCCTCTCACCCTTAAGGGCTAGGCTGTGGTGTTACCCAAGGTTCATTTACCTGAGCCAAGGAGAAGCCACGCCAGGGCGGTGTTTCACGCCACCCTTGCGACACCACAGGACTGGTGGAATCCTCCTCCCTCCCTGAAAGCTCGCCCGCGACTCAAGGCCAAGTCATTTCCACCCAGGGACCCACAAGCCCAGAGAGGTGAAGCCTCTTCCAACCCCTGAAGCCAGGACGGAGCACAGTCCTACCAGGGCCCCCACAGCACAGGAGGCATGCTTTCAGGCCAGAAGGGCTGAGATGAGTGTCCCTTTATCCGTCTAGAAGAAGAATGGTGGCATCGTGATGGTGACACTGTCCATGGGGGTGCTGCAGTGCAATCTGCTGGCTAACGTGTCCACGGTGGCAGGTGAGTCCCACCTCAGCTTTGTGCAGCGCCGGCTTGGGCTGTGGCTGCCAGGGCTCTCAGGACGACTCTAGCAGTCTAGTGCACCTGCTGGGCAACGGGCAGACCTCCCAATGACCCAGAGGCAGCAGACACGGCTCTTCAGTGCCACCCAGATCTGCAGGCACAGAGTCGGCGCTGATGGGTTTGATGCCTCTTGGTTTTGCTCCCGATCCTTGAACTTCTCTCCTTCCCCACATGTCTGGGCAGGACAGGCTGAGCCCCACCAGGCTCTCAAGGAACCCAGAGGCAGGGTGGCTCCTGGGCAGGAAAAGGCCCAAAGGGGTGGCTCTGAGGTCCCCACTCTAGGTCCATGGACCAGCATGTAGCCGCTTCAGGACTCATGACTGGCCATGAGCTAGCTCTGTGGAGCCAACTGCCACAGCCTGGGGTGCTGGGGACAGGGCTGGTGCCAGGGTCTAACTCCAGCCTAGTGCTGCCCACACTCACCTCCACCTTAGATCACTTTGACCACGTCCGGGCAGTCATTGGATCTGAGTTCATCGGGATTGGTGGAAATTACGACGGGGCTGGCCGGTGAGTGCTTCCCTGAGGTTTCTCTTAGGCTGGGGTGCCGCAGGGAGTCCTTTAGTCTTCGTTCCCATCCTGACATCCTCCTATCCAGGCCTCAGCCACAGGCTCTGGTCTTGTAGCCCACCTGACACTCCCCACTCTCAGGGCCTGTTTCCTAGGTTCTCCCTGTCCCTTCAGTGGCCCAGTGGCCCTACTCCAAGTTGTCATACTTGCTAAATACTCCCCTCCCCAGGCAGGGCTCATCTGTCCAAGATAAGCTCCACTCCCAGCCCTGCAGACCAGCTGTGGGCTGACCATCTGCTCAGCAGGTGGAGGCTACAGAAGCCCAGTCCTCCAGGAGCCTCCACGGTTGCATTCACTAGCCTGAAGAACTTGGCCTTCAGTTTCCCCTGTGTGACTAGGGCTGGTGGGTAGCAGGCCCTAACCCAGGATCAGGGCTGAGGTCCCACAGCTGGCTGGTGGGTGGCCACACAGGTTCCCTCAGGGGCTGGAGGACGTGTCCACATACCCAGTCCTGATAGAGGAGTTGCTGAGTCGTAGCTGGAGTGAGAAAGAGCTTCAAGGTGTCCTTCGTGGAAACCTGCTGCGGGTCTTCAGACAAGTGGAAAAGGTAAGCTGGGCTGGTGGACAGGATGGTTCAGTGGTTTGAGCAAGGGAGGGGATTGCTGTGGGAGCCTCTGACTGCGGACTTCCTCCCCCAGGTGAGAGAGGAGAGCAGGGCGCAGAGCCCCATGGAGGCTGAGTTTCCATATGGGCAACTGAGCACATCCTGCCACTCCCACCTCGTGCCTCAGAATGGACACCAGGCTACGCATCTGGAGGTGACCAAGTGGCCAACCAGTCGGGTCCCCTGGAGGTCCTCAGATGCCTCCCCATACCTTCTTCCAGGCCTGGTGGCTGCTGCCACCTTCCCAACTGTCATCCAGTGGCTTTGCTGACACGGCCGGTCCCCCAAGAGGTGACTGTGGCAAAGTCTCACGAAGCCCCCCGTCCTAGTTCATTCATAAGCACGTGCTGAGAATAAACATTTTACACATGGAGCCAGGTGCACATGTCCTTCCTTCTCCCTAGCGGGAGTGGGGGCAGGTGGGCTCTTGGTCAGTGAGGGATCTTGTGGTCTAGCCACAGCTGGTCAAGGTGGGTGCTTCCCACTCACCTCCAGCTTTGGCTCTCTCAGGAAGGCCAGAGGCATCTTATGAAATTCTTAAGCTAAAAGCTTGAGCCCACAGAAGAACACAAAGGAAGTGAGTTTAGTTTCAGTCCCTTCGTGGAGTGTGACAGTGGGGTGCTTCCCAGTTTCTCTCCAAGAGGTTAAATGTGTTTTCTTTAGAAGCTGATACTATTTATAGAATAAAGAATAACTTGGCAAGGCGTGGTGGCTCACGCCTGTAATCCCAGAATTTGGGACAGTGAGGCGGGCAGATCACGAGGTCAGGAGATCAAGACCATTCTGGCTAACACAGTGAAACCCTGTCTCTACTAAAAATACAAAAAATTAGCCTGGCATGGTGGCACTCACCTGTAGTCCCAGCTACTCGGGAGACTGAGGCAGGAGAATCACTTGAACCCGGGAGGCAGAGGTTGCAGTGAGCCGAGATTGCGCCACTGCACTCCAACCTGGGCAACAGAGTGAGGCTGCGTCCCCTTTACCCCCCAAAAAAGAACAACTTGTTTGGAATTATCTGGAGAGTACCTTTGTAAAAGGTTTCTCAGATTAGGTCCTCTGATTTTTTTAAAAATGAATTTTTAAGTTGCAGGGGCAGGGTGTGTGTAGAATCACCAATCTTAAAAAAAAAAATTAAAAAGAAATAAAAGGAAACTCATGCAGTCGGCATGGCCCATTCGAATGGCCTCTTTCTTTGGCTGCTTTCCTCTCCAGTTGTGCCAGAGCCAGATACAAGTTCCTTCCATGGGAACTTGTAATTGGGAGAAATTATGACTCCAGTGCCACCTATGTTATAAACCAAGAGTCTATATATGTCTGGGTCTGTTCCATTTATTTGGACTCTTTGTTTATCATATCAATACCACACTGTCTTAATTATGGCAACTTTTTTTTTTTGAGATGGAGTCTCGCTCTAATTATGCCTAGCCTAATTATGGCAACTTTAAAATAATTTTGAGGCTGGGCACAGTGGCTCACACCTATAATCCCAGCACTTTGGGAGGCCAAGGCAGGCGGATCACTTCAGGTCAGGAGTTTGAGACCAGCCTGGCCAACATCTTGAAAACCTGTCTCCACCAATAATACAAAAATTAACTGGGCGTGGTGGAACATGCCTATAATTCCAATTACTCAGGAGGTTGAGACACGAGAATTGCTTGAACCTAGGAGGAGGAGGTTGCAGTGAACTGAGATCGCGCCACTGCATTCCAGCCTGGGCAACAGAGTGATACTATGTCTCATAAAATAAGATATAAAATAAATAAAGTAAAATAGTTTTGAGTTGGGCGCAGAGTGGCTCATGCCTGAAATCCCAGTACTTTGGGAGGCTGAGGCAGGAGGATTGCTTGAGGTCAGGATTTCAAGACCAACCTGAGCAATTTAGTGAGACCTCATCTCTCCAAAAAAAAAAAAAAAAAAAAATGTAGCCAAGTGTGGTGTCCCGTGCCTTTGGTCCCAGCTACTTGGGAGGCTGAGGTTGGAGTATCACTTGAGCCTGGGAAGCAGAAGTTGTAGTGAGCCAAGATCATGCTGCTATACTCCAGCCTGGGCAACAGAAGGAGACCATGTCTCAAAAAAAAAAAGAAAAAGAAAAGAAATCTTTCATATCTGATGCTGTACTTAGCAGTGTCAGCTTATCCTTATAATTTCAGCAATTTGTTTTTATTGAAGTGTAATTAATATACCATAAAATTAACCTTTTTTTTTTTTTTTTTTTGCTGGGAGTGCGCACCTGACCTTCACCACACCCTGCAAAACACGCCCTGGGTGAGCCTAGCAGCAGATGGTGTGCGCCTGCGCGGCAGGGGCAGAGATGTGCGATGTCACTGGTTCCAGAACAAGCTTTACCCATGGGGTCTGGCACTGAACTCGAGTGGGGAGGGACTGGATTCTGGTTTCAGAATATGACTGGACCCCTGGCCAGACGGTGGCTCACACCTGTAATCGCAAACCACTTTGGGAGGCTGAGGCGGACAGATGCTCTAAAGGCCAGGAGTTCGAGACTAGCTGGCCAAGATGGTGAAACCCTATCTTGACGGAAAAATACAAAAAATTAGCCATGCGTGGTGGTGCATGCCTGTAATCCCAGATACTCGGAGGCTGAGGCATAGCATCGAGACCCAGGAAGTGCAGTGGCAGTGAGGCCAAAGATCACACCACTGCACTCCCTGCCTGGAAGACAGAGGCGAGACTCTATCCATCAAAAA